TTAGGTTTAAAGTAATGTTTTCCTTGATTTTAAATATTTTTGCAAAAGTTTTTAGAATGACAAAAATGTAGAAAGTACTAGAGAACTTGCTTAGGGTGATCGTGAACCTGTGGCCTAGCCGTCTCGTGTGCACCCACCGCTCTGGTTCAGGTGGGCAGGGCTGCCTAGACAACAGCCCTGTGCAGAGTGGTACGAAATAGCACGTCAGACCTTAGATCTCTGAGAGATGGTAGAGTTTAAAGATGCGTGTGACTGTGGAACCTACATGAGGAGCTGAGGTTCTGGATACTCAAAGCCTTCCTCACAAGGCACCATACCATTATGGGGATGGCAGCATCCATGTGTCATTCCAAGGAAAGGGCTTGGAGGTACTGGAGTGTGATGCAGAGCACACCTGTGTTCTGAGAGAGCCGAACAAGTCTACTGCAGTTAGAGGAAAGGCATTTTTAAAACACCTTGTAGCAAGTACTTTCATCGGACACACGTGTTCCTACCAAAGATCATGACTACTTGGTGCCCGTGAAAGTCATACTTTTAGAATGTCATGAAAAATGGAGAGGTGTATGAAAGGCATTCTGGCTTTAGGAAATAATGCTAGGAGGGATCTTAGATTAAAAAGGTAATAAGATCTGCCTAGGCAGAGTGAGGAGAGATGGTTTAGCAGTGAAGAATAAGGTTATCAGACAAGTAAATGGTAGGCTGGAAAATAAAAACGTACCATTTGGATGGCAGGAAGCCATTGCCTGTTTTTCAGAAAGCAAGCTATTGAAGGTATCATACGGTCCGCATCATTTAACTTGAACGTTGAAGGAGTGATCCTGGAGTTGGAGTCATGGTGGGAGGGAGAAATTGTAGTGGTCCCGCTCGAAGAGTAGGGTCCAATTCATGAATTTATTTCAGAGGTTGAGGTTCAGATGCAGATTAAATGTAAAATAAAAAACCAGACAGTTCTCTCAGAGTGGATGGAAGTAACAAAGGACAAAGAAGAGTTGCAGACCAGTGTCTGTTCCGTGGAAGGCAGACACCATGTTCTGATTGAGAACTTGGAATTGGGGACTGTTGTGGGAGTGGAGTGGAAATAAGCCCCGTCTTCACCGCGTCACGTGTGAGATGGGGATGAAGTGTCTAGATTGTGGAGCTGAGCTGAAGGCGGTCAGATTTAGAAAAGCGCTGTCCCCCACGGATGAAAGCCTAAAGCTGTGGGACAGGATTCACTCTGGTGAGCCGTGCGGGAGGCCTCCTGCCCAGAGCCGACCAGCATGCAGGGACCACCCGGGAGAGACAGTGGGCATCACCCCCTGCCGTGTTTGGCCCGAGTCAGGGTGTCATCACTGTGTAGACTCACCAAATGCAAATGCCGAAGGGGAGGAAATGTCCTTACAGGTGTGAGAGGCCAAGATCTCAGGTTCTCAAAGATCGACAGAGGTACCTGTTGCAGTAAAGAGGCGTCACGGGGCTCAGGGAGGAAAGGACAGGGAGGCATGGTGGTCACGCCACAGCCACCTGAGCTGAGACCCGGCGGTTGGGGAGGCACTTGTGCTTCAGCCGTGAGTGCCACAGCCTCTTCCTTAGCATGGCTCTGGAAGTCTGGGCGATGGAGGGACACGGGAGTCGGTCACTGCTCAAGACGCCCGGCTGTCGCCCGGTGCCTGTTGGCTGGCCTGGAGGTGAGAGCTGGAGGCCAAGCAGCAGCAGGTCGTGAGGACTTCCCTGGGCGTGGTCAGCCCTGCTGGTGGCGCCCACCCCCACCCCCAGAGGCCACCCACCTGGCTCAAGAGCCCCCAAGGCTCCTCTGATCTCAGCTCTCTGTGCTCCAGAAGCACTTCTCACTTTATGCTTTGGGGAGTGCTTGGCCAAGACTCCCTGGAGCTGTGGGCATCATGGAAGGTGAAGTGGCTTTTGGCAGCCTGGTGAATATGCTTTGTCAGAATCCCAGGATAGCAAGGAGCGAGATGAGGAAGACACACCTAGTGCAGAGAACGGCGCACACAAGGCCCCTGCCTTCATGGCGCTCACGTTTCTCATGGGTGAGTTAGGCATTGAACAGGTAAATTTAAAAATAGATAAATAAATAAGCCAGGCAGATATCATACAGACCTTGTAGCAGATGCCCTGAAGACAGAATGGGATGATGTGTGTGTTGCAGGGTGAAGTTGGGGTGCAAAGCTGCCTGGCTTGGGTGGACCACACAGATTTTTGTGATTGTTGGCAGCTGAGCTAAGACCTAAAACCTGAGGAGCCTTCGGCCAGGGAGGAAAGCATTCAAGGAAAAGGAACAGTCATCGTGAAGGTAGAAACAGAACAACTGGGAGGATTTGAGTCTGGGAGGAGGAGACCAGTTCGGTGGCTGCAGCGGCCCAGGCAGGGTGTGCTGGGATCATGATGGGAGCAGTAATGGTGGGCGAATCAAAGACAAGACGTCTCTGACTCAGCAGAGGCAGAAAAGTGGAAAGCATAGCTGGTGTGAATGGAAGTGTGTTTGTTCTCAAGTTGGGAGGGTTGATGGGGGGAACGTGTGGGGAAACTTTGGGCTTATAACCTCTGTCTTCTCTGAGAAGGCCGAAACAAGCTGTTGCCCGGGAAAGAGGGGTCTCGGGCAGTGGTCGGGAGCTGGAAAAAAGTCGTAGGAGTGTGGGATCGTTGCTATGTGGAATGAGAAGCCTGGGTGGGTTCAGCTGAAGCAGGACAGTCTTCACACCGGTCCTCACAGCTCTGTGACTTTCTTCCAGCAAGGCAGCCATCCCACCTCTCTGCAGAGGAAGCAGGGAGAGAGGCTTTTCCAGGTAGCTGAGACAGAAGGACAGGCAAGATTCCTAAAGAACTGGCACAGTATGGCCAGTGATGCTGGCAATAAAAGGACAAGAGGCCAACAGATGTGTGGATCCAAGGAGACCTAAGTAGAGAGCTTTGGACATGACCTCAGTGCAGATGGGAAGGAGTTGTCTTGAGAGCGACCATGGGGGAGAGGTGGAAGGATGGCCTAGGGTCGCAGACAGGAAGTTGGGTTTAATCCTTTTAGATCCCTACATTACATTGCAGCTGCCATTTTGTCTTTTTTCCTCCTGTCTGAGTAATGAATCTGTGCTTTCATTACAAGGGAAATGGTTGGCAGGTTGGTTGGATTTCAGTGAATTCAGATCTAATAATGAAACATTTCCTTTTAATTGTTGTATATATCTTTCTCAGCTTTTTCTCTACTTAAAGCATATTTCTTCTCTTGTTCTTTGAGCAGCCAAAACAGATGTGTTGGATGCACTGGCTCTGTTAACAGGTGTCTGTTGTCGCTCTTACAGCTAACACCACAGCCATAATTGATGGAGAGTTGAGTTGCAAGCTCTTAGGACTAATTGCAGAGTCTAAACTAAAACATTTCCTGCAGCTGCCTTTAAATAACAATAATAACAATAGTAATAATATTTTGTATAGGGATAGTACAATTTGCAAAGCGTTTTCACATACATCATATCATTTAATCTTCACAATAAATAAGCCTTTTTGAATGCTTAGGTCTTTCCTAAAGTGAGAAATCATGGTGCACATCTTGATTTAATCATGCGGAGTTGCCAGAAGTTCTTGACATGATAAGCATTTATTGAGCACCTTCTGTGCCTAAAGCACTTTACTAAGGACAGCACGGGGTAAACTTCCCTTAAGGAGATACCAAGTAGCCACTGCCCAGTAAATGTGATCTTGCTTCCTGGCTCACTCCCCCTTCCTCATCACAGTCACTGTTTTGGTGGCTGCTTGCTAAACCATAAATGTATATAAATATTACTAGGAATTCATTATATCAGAGTTTAAGTTTTTACAACTAGGATCCTGACACTTATCTAAGCTCAGTAATACTTCAGAAAGTCATTCTATCGATTTCAGCTTGAACTGTCTTGAAAATTACGTATCTGTTACTTGAATCTCAAGGATATTTCAGATCCAGCATATCTGAAAATGTCTAGCCATTGAGTTGGTTGTCCTGATTAGGATGATTAGGCTATGACTCCAAGAGTACAACTTGACCCTCGGCCCCAGAAGGCTTATTCAGTGGGAAGGAAGACATAATCATCTCTGGGTTCTTGAGCCAGACTCGGATGCACTGAGGAGACTGGGAGAGAAAGGGCTTCCCGGGAGGGAGCTTCCTGGGTGAGATGGGGAGTAGAGGGTAGCATTGGAGCCGAGCACAGGCCCAGGGCAGGACTCGTGAACCTTTAGCCAGGAGCCCCTAGAGGGTCCAGGCATGTGTTCTGGGCCACCACAGCCCCTCACAGATTCTCCAGAAAGCATGAGACCACACCCCCCCCC